ACATATTTTCTTTAATTTCTCTTGCAACTACATCGTCGCTATTCAGTTTGTAAATAGGTAACACATGAAAATCATCTTTAGAACATCGATGCATATGTTTGCTAACTTTTAAAAATCTTAGTTCATTGTCCTTCATTTGTTGTCTATGTACATTCATTCGTATTCTCAATTCACATCCGGTCTGTCCGATATAAAATTCACCACATTGTTTACATATTAAAGAGTAAATAACATTCTTAGAATTACAGTTAATGTCTGATCTAATTTCTATTTTGGAACCATTTGCAAAAACGTAGTCTTTACATTCAATGATAATCTTACATGTACCACACCTTGGTTTCTTACATTTTTTTTACACCAGTGACAACATTTGTGGTATTCATATCAAATTTGGATGTACATAGTAAACGTTTTAAGTTTTTAGGTTGTCTTTTACAGTTTATAATCTTCTTCTTATCAAAAATACACTTCATGTTCTCACTGTTTTTTTATAAAATTTACAAAATGTTTAGCGACAGGAAACATATTACAATTATTTGGATTGTAAGTAGTAACAAATGGTATGATATCAGCATCTTTGGTGTTAGCTCTTTCTAAATTAACACTGACAGGGCCTTTCTCTTTAGCTCTTTGTATGGCGTTTAGTACCACTTCAGCAGGATAACGTTTGCTTTTAAGATAAAGTTTCAAATCGTCCAATCTATCTTCTAATATTTTTTTTTATCGCTAACAACCGTGACTAATTTCGATGCTAAACCATATGGAATGTTAAGCTTAGTGTGTTTAGCTTAGTGTGTTTATATTTATTTTAGATAAGTATCTATCAGTTAAAGTATTCCTTATGTCAATTTCAAAGTCATTTACCCTGAGAATGGTTTGAGGGGATGATGTTACGCGTGGAACTAGCCGATGAAAATTGTTTATATGATGTGTTCTTCAGTGTAAAATGGTTCATTTTAACATTTATATTTTATTTTATCGCAATAGCTTAAAAAGTTAAAGTGTGGTTGAATGCTAGTTTCATTAAGGTTAAAGAAAAATGCCGTAAGATCGCAAAAGATAGCTGGAAAGCTGTGGTTGAGTCCACCCTTATCTTTATTCAAGTCACATCCGAATTGTGTGTTGTATACTTGGTTGTTCATATTTGTTTTCAAATATTCATTCTAGCCTTTTCGTCAAAAAACGCTGATTTGTTTAAAAGATTTTTATCTTTCTACAATATAAGATCAAAAACATAATGAACGCTTTTGCTTACGTAGCGTATCTCATTCCCATTTATGATATGCACCCACCCACCGAGGCGTTTATATAGGTTTAAAAGTGCTTATCCACGTGCGAAGTATACATATAAACCCAATTAAATTCTACATTTCAGACCACCAAAAAATCCTCTATGGAGTTGTGGAGGGGATACATCAACATCTTAGGCAAGGTGAGATTATCCAACAGTATTTAACATACAATTGAAATATACATTACAAGGTATTGCCAAAGTTTAATATCTAATAATGGTGTAATAAACGTGTTGGAAAAAGCTACGAGTACTGACACTCCGTCACTGGGTATTTTTCTAGTCCCAATGAAATACACTTTAAGCGTATAATTCATTTAACTTTGTCGTTTAGTTCATCAGTCGTTGGAAACCCAATCACTGACCCATTCGGCTCAGGGTACATAAGGTCCTGACAGCGAACATGAGACCATGTACCCTGCCAAAGACCTGTATAACGAATTTGTCATACTGCAAAGCATTGTTCAAGCGTTGTCGTCTTGTAAAGACTCCCATCCTGTTTCCTTGCACCGAGATAAAAATGACCCAATGCCTCGTCTAATCTTGGCTTCGAGAAGTCCTCAAAATCTGTGTCTTGCTCCTTTTCGCTTAAGTATGCTCTGAAGGTTTTGCTTGCTGAATTGTTACTTTTCTTTGTGTTTGTAGGTATAAGTGACGCCCGTTTTGTCTCAATTTTACTCTCCGTGTGGCTTGCAAACCGTTTCGCCATTTTGTTCATTGTTGACATTAGCAGACGAACGTTCTCCGGTGTGTTCGATTCGAATCTGCGAGTTATCTCCCTTACAACAGGCGCGCATGCTCTTATGTACCCCGGTAAGGATACTAACATAGCTTCAGGTACCTTTGCAATTCGACCGATCACCGTGCGACATTTTTCTTTGCAGTATGACAAAAGTTCATAATTTAATTACTCACTGATGTAAAAATCAAATATAAGCACTAAGGTTTTCTGATCAATGCTACATTATATATTTCATCTCTGAAATATCAGTTATGTATACCGCTCAGTTTCTGTTTAAACTTGGCCACTGCTATATCTGTAACTAAACCGATCTTTGCATTCTTACCCTGTTTGAGCTACGGATAGAATATCACTTGACCTTGACCTTTTGCTACGTATCTGTAACAGAGCCGACTTTTACCTTCTAATCATGTTTCTGTTATGGATAGAATGTCACTCGACCTTGACCTCTTGCTGTTTATCTGTTGCAGAATAGACTTCCACCCGACCTTGACCTACCGGCAGACTGTATTCAGGATATGGATTTTGTCTTGGCGGGATTGAGACGGTCCCCAAAAGAACCTGACGGTCACTTGAGCGCGCGCACCAACTTAAGCAGGGACAGCGGCATACCACAGGACTCTGTCAGTAGTGTTACCGTAACCACGAAGCTTACCTCGGCCTCTGGTGGGTCGGGCGGAAGTGGAGGAAACTCCTCACTAAGTAGTGAGGGACGTGGAGGCAAGGTGAGGATATTAGTCTCTAATGGGAGTGGCGGGGGATTATGGCTTGGAGGGAACTTCTTATTTCTTACACGTGGGAACAACGACTACGACTCATACATAATGATAAACGGCAAAAAGTAGCATATCCAAATTGTTCTTAACTGCTGTTGAAGCAGAAGAGAGGTGTATACAATCCCTTAGTCATATGAATTCAAAATTTTTAAACACAATGTTGAAAATATTCTTCGTGAAAAAGGCATTATCCTTCTGCAGACCATTGTAGGGAGTTTCAGGCTTCCCGTTTGTTTGGTTTCATGTTGGTTCCAGCTGTTGTGTGTCCGTTTTAGCTTGTGATTTGTCACTGTTATTATATATTTCTTTATTTATAATTTAGGGAATAAAACCTTGTTAACTAATGTTCCAGAGACACAAGTTTTCAAACAATCCTCAAGGAGACGATATCTATCCTAGTTGGTTCATTGCCAACTGTTCTCGTGAGAAGGCGATTTCAATATTTACGGCGGTTGGCACGGCCTATGGAAACACTCTGATGAGGGAGAGTGCACAGTCGACGTCACAGGGTACCTACGTCATCAGTTACTGTTCGCGGATTAAAGACAGGTATTTCTCTTGTTTGTGACATCACTGGAAACTCTTAAATCTGAGCTAGAAATATGTCACTTCCATTATTTGGAAATCATTCGCGTATTTTATAAATCAGATTAATCACGTCACTTCACTCCCATCAAAAGATTTTCGCGACTGTAATTTCTCTAATACGTTAACTGTTGTATATAGATAAGTTCACTATTACTGCTGGACTGTAAAAACAAATTGTTGTCGTTATAATACATTCTTCGTTATTTCATATTATGACACGAAACATTATATTGACATGGCAAACCAACGATAAAGTTCCGTGAATAGGTATATTGATATACTCTAAATCTAAAACCTATTATGCTAATATTGAAAATCCTACTTATATAGGATTCCGTTTCAATCTCCGTTCGTCTGCCCAGTCTATTGGTCTTAAATTGTGAGGGACTTTTCCACCGACAAATAACTCAAACAAAATAGAAACGCGTTCTTTAGCTAGTATTGTGCATTACTTCCTCGCAACAGCTAAAAGATACATTTAAAACAGTTTTTATTCTATAATTGGTAAAATTGTTTCTGTATAATAATAAAGTAGGCAGTTGCGAACAAAATATTCTTTCTTCAGTAATTTCTTGACTTTTATCCGGAATGACTCGACAAGTTAAGTAGCAGTGATGTCAAGATTAGTTAGGTAACAGTAATGTCAAGATACGTTAAGTAACAGTAATGTCAAGATAAGTGAAGTAACAGTAATGTCAAGACAAGTTAAGTAACAGTAATATCAAGATAAGTAAGGTAACAGTAAGGTCAAGATAAGTAAGGTAACAGTAATGTCAAGACAAGTAAGGTAACAGTAATGTCCAGATAAGTAAGGTAACAGTAAGGTCAAGATAAGTAAGGTAACAATAATGTCAAGATAAGTAAGGTAACAATAATGTCAAGATAAGTAAGGTAACAGTCATGTCAATATAAGTTAGTTAACAGTAATGGCAAGATAAGTTAGGTAACACTAATGTCAAGATACGTTAAGTAACAGTAATGTCAGGATAAGTTAGGTAACAGTAATGTGAAGATAAGTTAGGTAACACTAATGTCAAGATACGTTAAGTAACACTAATGTCAAGATACGTTAGTTAACAGTAATGTCAAGACAAGTAAGGTAACAGTAAGGTCAAGATAAGTTAAGTAATAGTAATGTCAAGATAAGTAAGGTAACAGTAATGTCAATATAAGTTAGTTAGCAGTAATGTCAAGATAAGTTAAGGAACAGTAATGTCAAGATAAATTAGGTAACAGTAATGTCAAGATAAGGAAGGTAACAGTAATGTCAATATAAGTTAGTTAGCAGTAATGTCAAGATAAGTTAAGTAATAGTAATGTCAAGATAAGGAAGGTAACAGTAATGTCAATATAAGTTAGTTAACAGTAACGTCAAGATAAGTTAAGTAACAGTAATATCAAGATCAGTTAGTTAACAGTAATGTCAAGATAAGGAAGGTAACAGTAATGTCAATATAAGTTAGTTAACAGTAATGTCAGGATAAGTTAGGAAACAGTAATGTCAAGATAAGTTAGGTAACAGTTATGTCAAGATAAGTTAGATAACAGTAATGTCAAGATAAGTTAGTTAACAGTAATGTCAAGATAAGTTAGTTAACAGTAATGTCAAGAGAAGTTATTTAACAGTAATGTCAAGATAATTTAGATAACAGTTATGTCAAGATAAGTTAGGTAACAGTTATGTCAAGATAAGTTAGGTAACAGTAATGTCAAGATAAGTTAGGTAACAGTAATGTCAAGATAAGTTAGGTAACAGTAATGTCAAGATAAGTTAGGTAACAGTAATGTCAAGATAAGTTAGGTAACAGTAATGTCAAGATAAGTTAGGTAACAGTAATGTCAAGATAAGTTAGGTAACAGTAATGTCAAGATAAGTTAGGTAACAGTAATGTCAAGATAAGTTAGGTAACAGTAATGTCAAGATAAGTTAGGTAACAGTAATGTCAAGATAAGTTAGGTAACAGTAATGTCAAGATAAGTTAGGTAACAGTAATGTCAAGATAAGTTAGGTAACAGTAATGTCAAGATAAGTTAGGTAACAGTAATGTCAAGATAAGTTAGGTAACAGTAATGTCAAGATAAGTTAGGTAACAGTAATGTCAAGATAAGCTAAGTAACAATAATGTCAAGATAAGTAAGGTAACAGTAATGTCAAGATAAATTAGGTAACAGTAATGTCAAGATACGTTAGGTAACACTAATGTCAAGATAAGCTAAGTAACAGTAATGTCAAGATACGTTAAGTAACACTAATGTCAAGATACGTTAAGAGTTTTGGTAAGAGTACACAGCATACATTTTCCACTGTAATAAATCCGTTATGACATCAGTGACATGTACATAAGTTAACGTTTTGTACATTGGCAAATGCTATTCTTTCTTCTCTTCCTATTTCTACTCCTCTTTCTTCTACTTTAAGTCTCTGTTATCTTTTATTATTTCTGCTAAGTAAACAGGTTGATATTAGTTTAATAACTTGTTTCTTGATCCTATTTCATGTATGTGATAACTAAATGTTCTGTATAATGTAATTGCAAATTAACGAAATAAAATATTGTTTATAAAAAAACCCGTAAAGAGTCATTTTTTTCTTATAAAGCGCGGAAATATTAGATAATGGGTCAGTTTTACGTGTACAATCAATTGTAATTTTATTTCACTCTGTGAGCTTCAATAGTTTATGCTTATAAGGATAAAGATATGAAAGAACTTAACATGATGTTATATGCCCGGAGTGCCTGGAAACGGAGACTGCTACTGATAATTGTGTTTGCATATAGATATTTTATCGAAATTTATTTTCCTTAGTAGGATGTCCAGATTCTTCAACAATCATTGGTTCTTTTGTTATTGATTTTATAAGTTTGATTCAATGCTTTTCTAGTCTTAATTGTAAAAACATAACTTTAATGTTTCGGACCACTGACAATAACTGAGACATTTCATCGTAGGATTCGATGTTAATCTGTCACACTTTTTTCGGGTTTGAGTTTAGATTTTTCCTGGTGTTGGCGTTATGGTTTCTTCATTTTGTTTCTATATTATTTTACCTTTGTTGTACAGAATGCCTGTGTGTGATCATTTCAAGATCCTGAGGACACAAGCTGGTTATAAGATAGATGTTGATACGCCGGTGAGTTACGCAATTTAAACCCACACCTATTACATACCATGCTGACGAGTTCTACTGATTTACTCTAGGAACAAAATACACGTAACATATCGATATTCCTGATCAGGTTATCTATTTTAATACGCATGTTCTTATTAAGCCTGTCAAATATGCTATATCTGTAAGAAACAAGTCGTATTTTCTTTCCAGCACGTGGATATGACCAATCTGACAGACGTAATGATGTTTTTCATTAAATTGAATGGCGCTGATCGTACCCAGTCCCTCACCACCAACGATCTCAGTCTTCTAGGACTAAAAGATTCAGCGTACTCGACGTATCTACCGAACAAAGGTAACCCTTACATAATTAGTCTGCTACACCGAGTCATCAACACCGCTAGATTTCAGTGTTTTTTGTACCGATTTTATTGTCTTGAAAATTTGGTTCATTTTCTTCGTGTTTAGTTTGTGGTGGTGTGATTTGGGGATTTCCGGTGTGTTTTATTCTATCTTTATCTAGGCAGACAATCCTTAGTCTGTAGAAACTGAGGACTTATTAACACTTATTAACTAATTCATATTAACCTTCATTATTGTTATGAATAAAAATGACAAAAAGATAGAAAATAACATATTTGGCCAAATATATAATATATGGAATACACCTACATAGAATGAAGAAAAAAACTTTGATATGAAAAACATTAGCAATTATAACATTTAGCCTTTAAATTGGCTGTTTAACTAGCGAAACCTGTGATTTTATCTTTTGCATTTAATGTTGGCGATTAAACTTAAATAAAAAGCCATAACGATTTCAGTTCCTTATGGTGACATACCGTTTAAAGTCAACAAGAACGATAAACCTGTCACAATCAGTTCAGGTTAATTGATTACCTTAGGAAATCAGATAGGTATGATTTAATTGTTAGCAGAATAGTGTACAGAAAGCAGCTAACGGAAATATCGGGATATTCGTAATTAGGATGTGAATATCTCTGTTTTGCAGCTGTTGAATTCCTCTCTAAAAATTCAATTTTGCATTTTGAAATGGCGGTCTTTCAAAACTTAAATTCATCAGCTACATAAGATGTATGAATACTAGTATTCACAGGTGCGATTTAGGCCTAATTCAGTAATCATAACTCACGTTTGTCTAACATGGCCTTCATTATTCCGGAGCATCTGTGTCCGCCCCCGGATTTGTTTTGGGTTTTGGTGCCTCCCCAGTTAATCGCGTGTTGACGCTGTAGTGAGATGTTTTTTTTGGTCGTAGCAGCAGATCCAACCCCACGTGACTTAACAATCGTTCCAAATAGAGAAGCTCGAGGAAGAGAAAGTTCCGATCCTCCACCGGGTGAGTGTTTTAATTATTTGATTCCCATTTTGTATTCCCATGAATTTTCTTCATTGCATGTGTATCGATACTAGAGCATGATAGTCAGCATTATAAAGTATGTAACGCTTTTTTGTCAACTTTGACTTTTTAAATTTTACCATTAGTTACACATAATCTTTATACGATATATATTTATTGAAATATTAGTTTTAATCATCACACAATTATCTTTAAGGGATGACTTTGATAAGATTTCTTGTTATTTTGAAAGAGTTCATGTAAGATAAAATACAAAACAAATGTTTTCAAAAAGGAAATGTCACTCTTTGTACAAAAAACCTTTCTTGACAACGTGTTAGCAGAAACCACATATCATATAAAGTAAGATAAGCATTAACTTCAAAACGCGATACAAAACCTATTTAAACCTGTGTTTCTTTCTGTATATATTGTTATGAAAAGTAAAACCGATGTTATTTGAAAACCAATCGATTCCAAATACGTACATCTAGACACTGAATGATTCAGGGACCATTTAAACAAATAACAAATATATTTATTCCGCAATACTTTATTTTACCGGATATTCATTAAAGGGATTCGGTAATTGTTAAAAGGAAGTGATGGGGATCACATTGTTTTGTTTATATAGAAGTTCTGGTATAGAACCGAAGACGACATGCTATGAGATATTATTTTGATGACGAGTTCGTTCGATTTCGTACTGATGAATGCGTAATGAAATGTTTAAGGTAACCCTGTTCGACGTGGTGAGTATTTCAAGCCGTACACATAATTAACTAAACTTTTTTTATATGGTAAATCACAAAAGTTTCCAATTTCTTGATAATATATAAATAACTTATTTAAATCGTTATAGGTATCTGTGAGAAGTTTTCACCGTCATTTTTCAGACAATCAGCAGAAAGTATGGGTTAAGGACCTTTCGATAAATGCGAAAGAGGAAATGTACGGATATGACTGATACTATACAAATTTCATGCTTACAGCGATTTATTTATGAAAGAAAAGTTGACCAAGTTTTGAAATGTTAAGTACCTTTAAGTACGTTTCCCTAAAAAGATATATGCACCCTTTAAAGCTTACAGAATATGGTTAAAATACCACTTTTATAACGAATATACACATTTGTGTATGAAATCTATTATTTTGCGAATATGAAACATCGGGAATAATTCGTTGACGATATAACAGCATAAAATAAATGAAATAAAAGAACAAAGTATGCAGTAAGCTGATTTATATTATTGAAGGTTGAATATTTAGCTAGATTGCATTGCCCTGTATCTTTTTGGAGTGATTCCAGGATTGAGGTGCCCCGTGTTTATCCCTCCTATAACATATATACATTTTCTGTTGCAAACTTTCAGGCGTTATATAGGCAAAAGATATACATTTCAACAAAGAACTATTTGAAATTGTTGATACGCTTCAATTTGGAAATCTCACTGCTTTTTACTTAGATCTATATACACAATATATTTATTTTTTATTCGAAAACATGCGGCTATGTATTCCAATAACTCACAAAGCTTATGAAGTGTTTCGTCAGAATAATTTTTAAATTGCTTGCACACAAATATTTTCCAACAGTGAACCAAAACTTATTTTGTTAAATATTTACTAATAAAACCTTCATCAGATACAATACATCGCTGATTTTGTTTGCATGTGCATGGTCAATATCTTTACAGCAGTAACTCATCCTCCCGAGAACATGTGACTTTCTGTTGCGCAGTAGAATAATAATGACAGTTGCATTATGTTGGTGTTGCTAATACATTTTAAGCTTGTTTTTGAATTTTTTTTTTTTTTAACAAATGAATAGGTACCTACACCCATTGTTATAATTCTACATTCTTTAAGTCAAAACAAAACACCTCGTGACCCTCATTGCATGCATGTCTTCTTAGATCTTTTCTATTTCATAACAGATTTTGTTGTTGGTAATCTGAGTAGAAAATGATTTTTTCAAAACTGTCTAGGAGATCTGAGTTAAACTGAATGTTAGGAACTGTTGCGGTCGGCTTTCTGACCAGATTATTGGATGTGATATGTGATACGAAAAGTGACCGAGCGTTGATGACTTTGTGATAGTATGACGGTCTTTGTTGATGATCACACAAACGTATCTACAACATTCGTCAATAAAATAGCAAAATGAGTCCTGTGTTTGAGTGATCTAACTAGTCATGCTCGTGGAATATTTCACAGATGAAAAACCTCTATCAACCTCACTCGGAATTCATTCTGTTACATTCAGCGTGTTAAAAGAATTACAGATATTACATTAGTAGGTGTCTTAACCAAACCTTTCAGGATGATGGTGTCGGCTTCAGATTGGAACCACCTATTCATCATTGAATACAATTCAATCTTTCCTTTTGTTCTACCACTGTATCTGGTGTTGTGGTCTTCACTACCACAGTATCTGTTGTTGTGGTCTTCACTACCACTGTATATGTGTTGTGGTCTTCACTACCACTGGATCTGTGTTGTGGTCTTCACTACCACAGTATCTGTGTTGTGGTCTTTACTACCACTGTATCTGGTGTTGTGGTCTTTACTACCACTGTATCTGGTGTTGTGGTATTTACTACCACTGTATCTGGTGTTGTGGTATTTACTACCACTGTATCTGGTGTTGTGGTATTTACTACCACTGTATCTGGTGTTGTGGTCTTTACTACCACAGTATCTGTTGTTGTGGTCTTCACTACCACTGTATGTGTGTTGTGGGCTTCACTACCACTGTATCTGTGTTGTGGTCTGCACTACCACAGTATCTGTGTTGTGGTCTTCACTACCACAGTATCTGTTGTTGTGATCTTCACTGCCACAGTATCTTTGTTGTGGGCTTCACTACCACAGTATCTGGTGTTGTGATCTTCATTACCACAGTATCTGGTGTTGTGATCTTCATTACCACAGTATCTGGTGTTGTGATCTTCACTACCACAGTATCTGTGTAGTGGGCTTCACTACCACTGTATGTGTGTTGTGGTCTTCACTACCACTGGATCTGTGTTGTGGTCTTCACTACCACAGTATCTAGTGTTGTGGTCTTCACTACCACTGTATCGGTGTTGTGGTCTTCACTACAACAGTATCTGTGTTGTGGTCTTCACTACGATCTTCACTGCCACAGTATCTTTGTTGTGGGCTTCACTACCACAGTATCTGGTGTTGCGATCTTCACTACCACAGTATCTGGTGTTGCGATCTTCACTACCACAGTATCTGGTGTTGCGATCTTCACTACCACAGTATCTGGTGTTGCGATCTTCACTACCACAGTATCTGGTGTTGCGATCTTCACTACCACAGTATCTGGTGTTGCGATCTTCACTACCACAGTATCTGGTGTTGCGATCTTCACTACCACAGTATCTGGTGTTGTGCTCTTCACTACCACAGTATCTGTGTTGTGGTCTTTACTACCACTGTATCTGGTGTTGTGGTCTTCACTACAGTATCTGGTGTTGTGATCTTCACTACCACAGTATCTGGTGTTGTGATCTTCACTGCCACAGTATCTTTGTTGTGGTCTTCACTACCACAGTATCTGGTGTTGTGGTCTTCACTACCACCGTATCTGGTGTTGTGGTCTTCACTACCACAGGATCTGGTGTTGTGGTCTTCACTACCACTGTTTCTGGTGTTGTGGTCTTCACTACCACTGTTTCTGTGTTGTGGTCTTCACTACCTCAGTATCTGTGTTGTGGTCTTCACTACCACTATATCTGTGTTGTGGTCTTTACTACCACAGTATCTGGTGTTGTGGTCTTCCCTACCACAGTATCTGGTGTTGTGGTCTTCACTTCCACAGTATCGGGTGTTGTGATCTTCACTGCCACAGTATCTGTGTTGTGGTCTTCACTACCACAGTATCTGGGGTTGTGGTCTTCACTACTAAAAGTATGTTGGGTAGTGATCTAGAGGAATCGCTTCTTTAAGTAGATGAAATCATTCTAATAGTTTGTTTCAATATGTGCCATACCTTATTTTTGGGTTTTTCCTCAATTACTAAACGGTTATGTTACTGTATCTGTGTAGTGGTCTTCACTACCACTGTATCTGGTGTTTTGGTCTTCACTACCACTGTATCTGTGTTGTGGGCTTCACTACCACTGTATCTGGTGTTGGGGTCTTCACTACCACTGTATCTGTGTTGTGGTCTTCACTCCCACAGTATCTGTTGTTGTGGTCTTCACTACCACAGTATCTGTTGTAGTGGTCTTCACTACCACTGTATCTGTGGTGTGGTCTTCACTACCACTGTATCTGTGTAGTGGTCTTCACTACCACTGTATCTGTGGTGTGGTCTTCACTACCACTGTATCTGTGTAGTGGTCTTCACTACCACTGTATCTGGTGTTTTGGTCTTCACTACCACTGTATCTGTGTTGTGGTCTTTACTACCACCGTATCTGGTGTTGTGGTCTTCACTACCACTATTTGGTGTTGTGGTCTTCACTACCACAGTATCTGTGCTGTGGTCTTAACTACCACTGTATCTGGTGTTGTGGTCTTTACTACCACTGTATCTGGTGTTGTGGTCTTCTCTACCACAGTATCTGGTGTTGTGGTCTTCCCTACCACTGTATCTGGTGTTGTGGTCTTCAATACTACTGTATCTGGTGTTGTGGTCTTCACTACATATACCACAGTATCTGGTGTTGTGGTCTTCACTACAACTGTATCTGGTGTTGTGGTCTTCACTCCCACAGTATCTGTTGTTGTGGTCTTCACTACCACAGTATCTGGGGTTGTGGTCTTCACTACCACTGTATCTGTGGTGTGGTCTTCACTACCACTGTATCTGTGTAGTGGTCTTCACTACCACAGTATCTGGTGTTGTGGCCTTCACTACCACTGTATCTGTTGTTGTGGTCTTCACTACCACTGTTTCTGTGTTGTGGTCTTCACTACCTCAGTATCTGTGTTGTGGTCTTCACTACCACTATATCTGTGTTGTGGTCTTTACTACCACAGTATCTGGTGTTGTGGTCTTCACTAACACAGTATCTGGGGTTGTGGTCTTCACTACTAAAAGTATGTTGGTTAGTGATCTAGAGGAATCGCTTCTTTAAGTAGATGAAATCATTCTAATAGTTTGTTTCAATATGTGCCATACCTTATTTTTGGGTTTTTCCTCAATTACTAAACGGTTATGTTACTGTATCTGTGTAGTGGTCTTCACTACCACAGTATCTGGTTTTGTGGTCTTCACTACCACAGTATCTGGTGTTGCGGTCTTCACTACCACAGTATCTGGTGTTGTGATCTTCATTACCACAGTATCTGGTGTTGTGATCTTCATTACCACAGTATCTGGTGTTGTGATCTTCACTACCACAGTATCTGGTGTTGTGGTCTTTACTACCACTGTATCTGGTGTTGTGGTCTTCAATACTACTGTATCTGGTGTTGTGGTCTTCACTACTAAAAGTATGTTGGTTAGTGATCTAGAGGAATCGCTTCTTTAAGTAGATGAAAACATTCTAATAGTTTGTTTCAATATGGTGTTGTGATCTTCACTGCCACAGTATCTTTGTTGTGGGCTTCACTACCACAGTATCTGGTGTTGTGATCTTCATTACCACAGTATCTGGTGTTGTGATCTTCACTGCCACCGTATCTTTGTTGTGGTCTTCACTACCACAGTATCTGTGTAGTGGTCTTCACTACCACAGTATCTGGTTTTGTGGTCTTCACTACCACAGTATCTGGTGTTGTGGCCTTCACTACCACTGTATCTGGTGTTGTGGCCTTCACTACCACTGTATCTGTTGTTGTGGTCTTCACTACCACAGTATCTGGCGTTGTGATCTTCACTACCACAGTATCTGGTGTTGTGGTCTTCCCTACCACAGTATCTGGTGTTGTGGTCTTCCCTACCACTGTATCTGGTGTTGTGGTCTTCACTCCCACAGTATCTGTTGTTGTGGTCTTCACTACCACTGTTTCTGTGTTGTGGTCTTCACTACCACAGTATATGGTGTTGTGATCTTCACTACCACTGTATCTTGTGTTGTGGTCTCCACTACCACAGTATCTGGTGTTGTGGTCTTCACTACCACAGTATCGGGTGTTGTGATCTTCACTGCCACAGTATCTGGTGTTGTGGTCTTCACTAACACTGTATCTGGTGTTGTGGTCTTCACTACTAAAAGTATGTTGGTTAGTGATCTAGAGGAATCGCTTCTTTAAGTAGATGAAAACATTGTAATAGTTTGTTTCAATATGTGCCATACCTTATTTTTGGGTCTTTCCTCAATTACTAAACGGTTATGTTACACTCAACGTAAGTAACTACTATGTCATTAATATCTACCTCTCTCGTAAAATCAAAATTATCTTCTGATTAATAATATATTTACGTGACATATTAAATTAACCAACCAAAAGATTAATTACTTTGGAACTCTTCTGGAAGGCGATTTTTAACATTAAGGAAGAATAGATCTTTAAAGTAATATTCTATTCTATTCTCGATTGAAGATTACGACTACGAGGCTCCTGTCCCTCCGGTACAACGCCCTAAAACTGTAACGGGTGCCACATTGAAAAGTCAGATGAGAAAGTATGATCTGGACACTAAAGGTTTGATCTATTTTTCATATTTACATGTATATCAACTTTATAGAGCATATTTTAAATGTATTCATGTAGCACTGTATCATGCTATAGTTGTTTAAAGCTCAATTGAATTATTAAAGATATTTTCTTTGCTTATACTTAAATACGTTTTTACTTATTAGTTAGAGTTTTTGCTCCTCACAATGTATTAACATTATTTTTATTACATATATTTATTTATCAGATGGCTTATATGTTCAATTCAGCAACTGCAAAACCATGCTGTCATACAAATGGAAGTGCAACGCTGCCTGTACTGCATTTTTTAAAATTTCTTTTTCTGTGACATCACAAAACAATGCCATCAATTACACATAAGAATGTCACACGCTTCATGTGTATATTTCTCTTTCCATATGTGATTTAACACTTTCTCTCTCTTTTAAATATCAATTCACGTAATTTTCTGTTAAAATGGGTCCAGTTGATGACATTAAGCAATCTTTTCTATACTGATGTAATATATAAACATTAATGTATTTCATGAAGTTGGCGTTACAATTTTAAGGTATGATACATAATTGTTGCATTGCTGGTTTCTTTGTTCCAACCTTGTGACCCTTATTTTCCTACTACCTGATATATCTGTAGACTGCATAGTAATAATAAACATGTTTTAATATTAGTAAAATATTTTGGAATATGAAACGAACAAATCAGAAAAGAGTAGACCTAGCTGATTAATGTATGCAATTATACTATAATAAAAGACAAACCATCGTCAATCCGGCTGATAATCCAGAATTCTACTGCTCTTTATATTTACAAATTTTAATCACTTTCAAAGCATAATGGCATGCATATGGTTTCACTCATTAATATCAAACCTACGTGTTATGCCGGTTTGTATACGCCCGTCGTACAGTATTATACATCTTATGTTATCACGTGAAATAAGCGGGCAGGCGCGCACAGTGTCCGCTCGATATATCGAGTCATTTTCAACGGATTGAATATAAACTTCATAAAAAGTTTTATTAGTATAAGAGGTTTGACATGTTCGACGATAACTATTATTGTGCTGTAATTTACAGAGTTATGCCCCTCTAATCAGCTGCTTAAACAATGTCCCGCTCGATATCTCGAATAATTTACAATGGATTAAGTACAAACTTCACGGGGAGGTAAATTACCGTGAGTTCTCGAACAAGTTAAATAACCCCCATTATCCGAGTTATATTTAATCAATTGCGGAATCAGTGTCCGCACAATTTATCGAGTAAGTTTTAACATATTTACTACAAAGTTCATAGGAAGGAACATTTGCACGAGAGCTCGGTTGGATAATCACAGTTTTCCTACTATAATTTATGGAGTCATGCCCCCTTAATCACTGGTGTGAGTATGATCCTAATTATCTGACCGTACTTGATTCCCCTAGATTTCATCAATGCAGAACTATATGCATTTCCAGATGTTTTATTGCACTCATTGATCTACTAGTTTTGTTGAATTATTTATCATTTAACATTAATTACTCACACGATATTTTTCAATGATGTGAACAATTGCTCGTTCAACGTGGGACGGGCGTATTATGTACCGCTTTGCATTAACCCTTTCCTGTTATCGGAAACCCAATTTGTCCAGATTAACGAGGTTTGCTACGTCGGTAGTGTAAAGCTATGTATTAACAATTTTTCAGTCATGAAGGTCTATTATATCTTTGACCTTTTTATCACCTATTTGCACCTTAGAATCAGCTCGTAGCAACAGACACTTTCACCCTGACATGACTGGTAGCCATACCGTAGCCCCAAAGCGAAAGGGAGGCCGCCCTGAGCTGCCACCTCAAACACGCGTCAGTATGCCAGATCCGGGGCAGTTTCATAAATCTCCTCGCGCAGCAGGTACGTGACTGTGAACTCCTAATTACCAAAATGTCAGTATGTCTATAACAAGTTATATCATTTTTAGGCTGTGTTTTGTTAACAATGTAGTAAACATACATTTTACCTGAAGTACAAAAGTATACATATCTTACATGTACATTTTAACAATGCTAATAGTGTTTCATTTTCGCGGGTTGTTACTAGAGAAAATGGTGGGTCTGAAATTTAATTAAGATAGTTAACAGTCACAACAGACTTATTTCTCTAAAAAAAACACCGATTTTAATCGGGCGGACGGGGGATTTAGTGAAAATAACAGCCGCAAAATACAAGCAAAATATAGTTTTATTTTGCGTTAATGAATACCTGCTTAAACAAAATCTTTCTACAAGCCTCTCTTACAAGATATTAATTATTTGATATTGAATATTGCATACGAATACATAGGCAATTTATTGATGTTTAATCAGTAATCCAAATGTGATATATGCCATATAGACATCAATTAAACAAAACTTGAGGTTGTTTTCAAAAATTCAATATATCAAAAAATAAGGCATATTAAGAGAACGACCATTAATTCTTTTGTTGAAGTAAAGATGAGGAGTTTGTTGATAAAACCCACTATCTATTTAAACGCTGAACCGCTTTTTGGGATAACTTAAAGAGTATTCAAGTTGATTTGGCAATTAATTTAGAACACAACTATCCACTTAAAATTGTAGAGAAAGAAATGTTGATTAAACAGTAGACAAATTCATGATTCAACGAACCATAACCAACGAATCAATATTCCTTAACAATTTCAATTTATTGATTTTTGATAACAACGCATTATATCGCGGAAATTATTAAAAGGTGGCTTCAACATTCTTCCCCCAACGAAAATAAAAAATAAGATGTAGCACAAATCGTACATTTGTAACAAGATGCAGGGTGTTATCGTACGGAGGACCTACTAGCGTTTCTCCTTAGTAGCAGAAATACTACCAATCTTGGTAATAAGGATATATGAAGTAAGGCATTCGAATTACACATAAAGGTAATAAAATCCCACAGTTCACCCAGATGCGGATCAGGCGGATAAGAAAAGTCTTGCAAATCATATTTTGAACAGTTTTTGAAAAATGCCATGTCTCAAAATCAATAATGGCAAAAGTTATTTGGATTGGCAACAACTAATCAAATCTAGCTGTGTGCCACATGAAATGGAAGAAAACAAATTCAGATTACTTTGTATCAGTAATTCTATCCTTACCCCGGTAAATAGTTGTACTATCATTGCAAGCAACAATAGACATGCTCAGACAACGTGAAACTGTAGCTATTTTTTTTAACTAGGGTCTTAAAATAATAAATATTAAAAAAGCTCACCCCATCCTGAAATCACATTAATCAGCAGAGTTAAAGTTATGACAAAGATAGGAAAAAACATGCCTCTGATTTAATCTTCCCAAAATATATAACTCAATGTCGCTGACCGATGTTTGGGGTTTTGCAGTCTCATGTTTCACGATTCATTCGTTTTTTTTATTTACTGTCGTAGTTTCATGGCAAAAAGACTTCCATGTTCATCCTCAAACTGAAAGTCCACCTGTACGGCGAGAGGAAACTCCTCCACCTCCTTGTGAAGTTAAACCTGTTTTGGGCTATGAAAACGACCAACCTGGATTTGACAAAGGTATGTCGTATTACAATGATTTCATATTTATAGATGAGGTGGACCATCTCATTTATCAGACTCATAATATATCATACAAAATATTCTATTTATATGTCAAAAAAACCCCACGGAAAGTGTCGGTTTATAAAACGCTGAGTGAAACCTGATCCAATTGAGCTAACATCAACATTGTGTCTTCGTTTTTTTATAAATATTCATTTTAAAAAATGTCAAAAAAATATACAGAAAGTACTCATATTTGATACACATCACCTTATAATACTTTAACAAGCCTAACCTATCTACGTTAACGTTTCTAATTGTCTATGCTACATCGGATTTTACTATTAATATTACTTCTTTGAACCGTATTTACATTTAAGTGTACACACGGACATGTATATGCCAGTCACCCTCAAACTGTACATACCCATGTACCTAATTATAGGTACATACACATATTCCGTCTTTTCGTATTGCAGAGTTATCTTCTCTTGTGAACAGGTATTGATTGCTACGTCATTGGTTTGTGAGAGTAACGTCATCGATTTTTGAGAAAACGACGTAATTTTCTCACACAAACCAACGACGTAACAATTAATACCTATTCACAAGAGAAGATAACTCTGCAATACGCAAATACCGTCCGTCTGTCTGTCTTTCTTATTGTCCGACTGTCTCCACTAAGGTTAAAAAGAATGGTTGAGCTCAGTTTCCAAGTTATTAATTATCCCACATCAACTAAACTTGCATGACTTATGTATCAAAGGATGCTAATCACATGCGATGCTTCAGATACTGCGTCTGATCCACATTTTCCGCTTCACTGTCAAGGTTAAGAAGATAGGTTGAGGTCAGGCCCCATATGCACTATGGTTTAGAAGATTGGTTTAGGTCACTTACTAAGTTATATAACTACCTGTCCTACATCAACTGAACTTGGATGTTTTTTGTATCTCAAGGGATGCGTATCACATGTGATGCTTTACATGAAAATGTACTGCAGCAATCCGGCCATATCGCCATCGGCAATTTCTCTTTTTTCCTATTAAATAAAACACATTGTATCTGCTGCAGCCAAGTGGTTTGAGATTTAATCATAAATTTAACAATGTAAAACAAATCACACTATACTTGATGAAATAAACACATTTCTGCATATTTATTTAGTTTTTGCAAGCACTTGACATATATTTTGTTCAATTGTTGATGTACATATGTTTTGCACATTTAGTTATTGCACTGAATAGACGCAAACTGCATTCAATTACAGTGTTATCCGGACAAACAATGGCCGATGTTAGTCCAGAGATACCACCACCGAATTATAAGGCACCGGCTCCTCCTCCTATCGTGCCAATTGGTGTGTTGATATATATATACACTTAACTAACGCCACATATTATATGCTTAGACCTTTTCCCATTTGTCCCTTCCTTAAAGCAGTAATATTAAATTAATTCTTATCCAGAACACTACCCTGGTTTCACCGTTTACCGTTATCGTATTCTAAAGTAATCCTTTGTTTTATCAGTTTTACATTTTTCACCCCGTATAATCTTTTTTTTCATAAGTAGAAATAGCTAGAAACTAATATCACAATGAATCATATTAGGTTTTGAAAATAATACCACTTTATGTTTTATTCCTTTACCAACATGTTTAACAATAATTTTTGAATACTTATTTAATGAAAAGCTTATAGAATGAAACTGTGCCCAAGCTAGATTAGAGCTGACGTTTTATTTCAGTACCTATCTCTATCATATATACATATCCATATTTACAGAGGTAAAGCTACCGTCGAAGTCACCACCATCGTTTAAAGCACCAGAGATACCGTTGACCTCCCATGGTATTCATATTTTAACCCCCATTACTATATATCTAACAACTGGCATCCAAATTTCATAGATCCAACCGTTCTGATGAATTTCATATCCACCTTAAATAATCTATAACTTAATTATTTATTCTACACATTCATCTTATTGTTTGAGTCAAAACGATGTCATCTTTTGCATAATTGATTTATATAAGGTCAATCATTAGGTTGGATTTTCGATTATACAAAAATGTATTTTCATTTATGCTTAAAATACTAAAAAGAAGACATGCGCTGTAATGGATATACAATCATTTTGATGTATCTCCGTTGTTGAGGTTATTACATGGTTGTTATGATGTTTTGTTGTCTCCTGTGTTCCTATATTCTTCCTGTACGAATCTTTGGTTCGAAATTTGTATGAATACATAAATATATATATACCTATCCCAGAAAATGACATATACTTCTGGAATCTGGAATTTTCGATGACATATCACTGAGTCATGCTATGAAGCGTTTCTCTCTTTATGTGTATTATTAAACATATTATAAAAACCGTTAAATTACAGTAACTACTGGGAAAACAAAGGTCGTGAATACTACTGAAATATCACCACCACATAAGTCTACGCTTCCTCCCCGTGTTTCCCCAAAGGGTGTGTACCATATAAGCCTAACTAACACAACATATACACATATACTGTACTGTATCTGTCTTCAAACAGCTTTCATTGCCGGTAAATATTGAGGAAAACCTTCTTCAGTATTTTGTATAACAGCGCACTTTATTTCTACCGTTCTACCAGTATAATATGGGATGTGTTTAAAGTGAGCTAATGAGGCTTGACATTTATATCGCTTCATATATATATAAGAAGGCAGAAAGGCCTAGCGGACGATCTGAAAGATTTATGTTTTTATTCCAGATATGTTTATATATATATATGTATTTCACCATATATACATCAACATTATAATAACTTTTATTTTTCGCAATTTGTGCAGCATCTTAGCTGGATTATTGTTTTGTACTTGGGATTTGATATCAAGATAAATCATTTATGTAATATATTCATCTTTTGAAATCAACACTCATATCATTTCATGGAAATTTACAGACACAAAGAAAGCTTCCAGGGCACCGCCATCATTTAAAGCCCCGCCAATTCCTCCGACACGTCATGGTATTCATACAAGTATTTCCTGGTTCAATTTAACTAACAATAGTTACATCCAATTATAAACCATGTAATCTCATAGCACATTCCTGTCATTTCATCATTTTCTTCCCTTCAAACGAAGGAAGATATATATGTATTTATACTGGTTCTTCTGGGTTTTCTTCTAATACCAAGTAGTCCGGGTAGTAAATTTTAGATACTGAAAAATATCTTCATAAACCTTCAAGTATACTTGCATTACCCTCAGAGGACCTGCAGTGCAGTGGATTAAGGTTACAGTGGCTTTCATATCCATCAAAAATGTAGATTAAGAAATGCATCTGTTTCACCATTTTGAAATAAGTGCTTTTTATTTCAAACTGATGGCGCTTCAAGTATACCTGCATCATCTACAGAAGGTGAGCATTGTACTGTTAGTGGTTCAATGTGATCTTTAATTCTAGGTCAAAGGTCAACTAAGTGAACTTTTCCCGTCAAGTCTATCTGGAACGTTAATCTGTTCCTTGCTGTGTGTCGTGTTAATAATGTTACACCACAAGTTTTAAACCTTTGACAAAATCATGATTTATCGGAAAATTTCACTCTTTCAAATAAAATCATTTATTGTTATAAATAAGTGTTTTTCAATACCAAAACTTGTTTTAGATTTATGTTATATAACAAAACGAGTTTGTCTGAGGAATAGCACTTCCCGTTTATCATCCCTGTTTTGGTGTGATATGTGATTTTGCACAGTAGTTGGTTAAAAGTCTTTATTTAGTATCTGGTGTAGTGTATAATAAGAACGATTCATGTTAACAACTTTTCTTAAAGTGTGACGTGGGTGTAATCGTTGACATGATATATACATGCAGGTCATTAATATTTCGTATGTGAACAAAATAGTATCAAAACGTACCTAGATCAATATTGGCGTACACTGGCCAAATGTTTGTCAATCAATCAAGTAAGCAATTGAAGAAAGTTAATCCAGTAGCTATGTACTTGTTAGATAAGGCATATTCTATGCATACCTTATTTTAAGTATTTATCTATATATATTGCATTATATTTATTAGTGTATGAATATTTTGTGTTTAATTACTTAGCATATGGTATACAATTAATTGCATTGCAAGATGCTCTCTCTATGGTTTGGAATGTTTCAATTTTTAACCAATATATTGCTGTATTGTTGTCCGTGTTATTTTACATACGTAACATTATATTGTAAGTAATGCAATGCCATTTATTAACAATCATTACATTCGTATACCAATACTTGTGATATTTCATTTCGTATTCGTTTAGATATAGTAAGATATTATTTAGGCATATTTTGTCTCATGTTGTAATATTCTGATTCATTGACATTTCCTGAAAAACTGTCTTTTTTCTGAATCGCCTTTACATGTATACGATAGTTTCAAATGGTCTTCACCGATCATTTTGACTTGATGAACTCATAGAAAGTAAATTCTGCATGAAAAACCTAATTATCAAAACTAGACTGATCACACATACAATAATCTATAAAGAGTTACACGTGACGCTTCATTATGACAAATCGGAAGCTAAATTAACTGTATTCCAGACTAATGTAATTATATTTTTAACAGAGAAAGCAGACCAATCCGTTCCAGCTCTGGGGAATCCTGCGCCTCCCCCTCCTCCTCCACCTCCTCCAATCATAGGTATATTTAAATATCAGTTAAATATAGATATAACAATAAGAAAGCTTTCTTTCTCAATTAATATGATTCTTCCTAACAAATACTAATACATTATTAATAAGATAATTGTCACTGGAACTACAATGTAGGGAAGCATTTGTTAAAAAGACTAAATCTGTTGATGTAGAAAGCCTCTCAAAGTAAATAATTCTTTAACATTGGCCATCTCGCCATTTTAGGATCATCAGTGGTACTAAGTTTAAACGAATGATCTTAACAAATTATCATGCTATTTAGGCATATGCAGATACTTATATTACAATGAATATATCATATGCAAGACCGCAACTAAAGACATTTCCCGAAAAGAACCCCATTATGTTAACACATTTATTTTGTTTATAAACAATACAGATAGGGCTATTAGTTAAACGAAAACATTTATGACTTCCCCGTGGTCATGTACACTTTAGGTACACTTAAACACAGCACAGTTAGAGCAATGTCGAGTATTTTCAACAATAACGATAAAATACAATATTTTACGTCAGATTACTATCAACCAACATATTTTGAAATAATAATTTCACTCTGTCGGTACAGCATCGCGAAGTTGTGATATTTTGTCCACATCATCAATACGCAGATGTTTACAGGATTCTTAATTTTAATGACGTCAAACATAAGCCCTCACAGTACAACTTGATACTGAATGAAGACGTGGGTATCAAAGTCCACTGATCATAGCTTTTCCTTATTCCTGGTTCAGAGGTTCTACCTTCTGAATAGACTTGTGTCTTGAATATTCCAAGTTTAACAGTGAATAACGATTACTGTTGGAAACTTTACCAAAATCGAATCGCCTCCAATACACTCTCACACTATACTTCATGCTTCTAAATCATGTGATGATGCAATTGATAAAAGATAGTTATCAACCTTTATTCTAAATTTAAAATAGTTCCTAGAGATACCTATGAAATACCATTCATAATTAATATAAATTTCATTATGAAGTGCACCTGTCTCCACTATTTAAAAGGAAAGATAAGTAGGTTGTTTATATCTAGCCTATATCTACATATCAGTGAATGGAGTACGTGTATGTCTTCTCTGTGTTTTCCCAATGAATCATCGTGGAGAGACTATCATAATGATATTATATACACCTTAAAACCACTACTACAAACTAAAAGTGTTCTATACTATATAGCCGGCGTTAATAATACATAAATATATAGTGGTGCTGTCATATGTTCTAACAAAAGTTACTATTGATAAATCTTGAATTCCTTTGGGAAGACCATTTATAATATTATAGACCATGTTTGGTCTGCCGTCCTGTTGTTGGAGAGAATCTTGTAAATATAAACACACAACGAGAGTTATCTCCCCTGTACCATTTATTTTATGTTATCTCCCCATACACCACATTTTTTATTTTATTTTATTTATGTGTGTAATCTATATTGTTGTTTCTAATAATTTTAATTTTACATACAAACTGCTTTTCGATCTTTCCTCGGAAAAAACTTATCTATGCCTAACCTGTTGGTCAATCTTTTTCTGTACCATCATTTGTTGAAAAGAATTCTTAATGCACAATAAGGAAATGTATTATACTCTGAATCGGTATATTCCTTAAGTAACTATCCTTGAATTGTTACCCAATGAAGTCTGTATACGGGACTATACTGGAACGTAAAGACATACTGCTGTTTTTCAATAATCATTTCTTTTCTTTTGGAACAATCGTATTTGTTGACGTCCTCATCGCTGGTTTTGTGATGATATCCTGTCACATTATTGTTCTGTGTTTAGGGATGTATCCGTTTAACCCTTTCACCCCTATGCAACTTTAATAAACTCTACCATAAAATTGATATGAATGAGTCCATTGTGGTCTACAGTGATGAAAGGGTTAATATAAAAACATATTGCTATTTTGTTCTAAATCTTTTTATATTTTATATTTACATGTTTGCCTGTTTGTCTTCTTAATTTTTATTAACTCAACTTGATTTTCAATTCAAAATAAATATTTCTGTTTACGTTAAATAGAACATGCTGTATTTGTGACACTCTTTTTATCCGAAGATACAATCAAGTGTCTGTCTGTTTGTCCTCTCAAACCTTTGAAACGGAACTCATCTTGATTAAAAACTGGCATCACTAAGTGTTTGAAAAAAATACGATGTCATAATATCCGTCTCACAAGGCGAAACCAAATATATATTTTTTTCTTATAAATTAGTAAATAATAATCTTAAATTATATAGATTATAAATAACAGACAAACAGAAATCCATGTACTCACTCCAATTAGAATAGGCGAGTGACGAGTTTCAATGTGTGTATTATAACCTGAATAATATTAGTTGATTTTTTGTTTTGTTTTGTTTCTTATTGCTAATGTTTTTAAACCTTATACGTGTATTTTAAGATTTTACATCAATTTTCAATAAGTGGACTATCTTTATTGACGTTGTATAAATGTGAAACCCGCCTTAACTGAATTGTAATAGAGTGCTTATTTTCCATTGCAATATATCATCTTCAGGATCTGGGGGAACTCCAAGTAAGTCCTCTGACACGAAAAGTAATAAGATTTTGGTCACAGGAAGGAAGGGACGGTTATCAAGTGGAGACTACGATCGTGATAACGTGGCTCGCAGGATGCCCAATGCACGTCGCCCAACCGCTCCAAATATATGGGGAATGCCGGGTAGTTAAAATACACATGCTACATGTATAAATATATCTGTGCTTGGTGTACCAAATATGGTGGGATGCTCTGCTGTCGGTGACAGTAAATTGTATAACTGATATAATTGTGGGTATGGCTTTTTCTTGTAAGTGTTTCGGCGTGGAACGCTATATAATGGAACGTTATCACGGTGCGTGCAAATGGTGTATATTAACCAACTCCAACTCCCTTTATGTATGTCCCTGTATATTAAGATATTTCACTTCTGTATTTTTTGTACTTAATGACTATTTACACGTAGTTAATTACGTTCAATCTGCATTACTCAATCGAAGCTGAATGAACGTTATCTTACACAAGGACCTGTAAACTGGAAGTATTGAGATAACTGTTTCATGAAGTTTTATATTTCATCATTTTGATAACTGGCCATTTAAAATTTGATACACAGGGTACATTGTATATTGAAGTTTTATTTTTAGAGCACTTCTGTTTGCATTTTTTGCAGTTCAAAATTTATTTAGCTTTATGCATGACAGCTCTTGGCATGTGGTGTCTTAATGGACATGTTATTATCATTATTAAACATATATCAATTAGAAATTGTAACTTTGCTAAGTGAATATGAAGCTCAGTCAGTTTTTAAAATATGGTAAAGGGTAGAATAATATTAAAAATACATTAATCATCACCAATGACACTGTTATAAAAACATTTTCTAGACATATATTCCGAAAAAATATTTTAATTCAATTTTTTTATTATAGCGTTTGTAGTATTTTCAGGATTTAAAATCAATAGCGTTGAAATGAAAAACTAATATGCAGCCAGTGGAGGTAACCATAAGCTAGACAAAAACCCCATCCTTGTATCATATTTTCTATATACATCTGTTATAACTTTAGCAATGGTACTCTTTGCCTTAAATGTATATTCAAGTATCCATGAGCTATTTAGTTATGTCTCATCTACATTGAACAAACTATAGTAAACATTAAACATTTCATCGAATGGAATGATTCCTGATTAAGATGTAAAAGTTCTAGCTGAAAATTTACACTTTAAATACTGAATGTTAAAGCATGTAGAAAAAAATTGAAATAGTACCTCTCATATATTCAGCATCAATTGTGTTATCTTTTGCTTTGTATATATATTCAATTTCAGCATTTTATGATGAGAACCTCGTAGATCCGAAAATAACATCAAAAACTCACTTATTTGGCATTTGTTTTCAAAATTGTTTTATTTTCAAGTAGCAATGATGTAAACATAAGATTGCTTTATGCCAACGAGGTTTCACCGCTGTCATATAATTCTTTATATTAATTAACAGGGAAAATTACTCATTAAGTACGTGTATGTAAAAGTTATATTTCAGTTGTAGTAGTTGGACCACGTTAAAGCCATCTTAAGTGTTTTAATATCAATCAATATCGGAACATTTATTTTAATCAAAATTATCTTTCTTCGAACATCCAATTTTCGTTAAAGCTACATGTAAATGAAGCCATGCCTTCGTTTTAAATATGAGTCGGATTGTTTCCTTTCTGACAGCGTACATGTTACACCATTCACGTAATCATTACAGGAATGCCAGAACCTGAACTAAAGGTGGAAAGTGTCGGCTACATTCTACACGTTAATATATTTATGTTTTCGCTTTTCATGTAGATGGCAGAGACAGGATGATGAAGCTACGATCCCAGTCTGTACCGAACTTAGAGGATCAACTTAAAGGTGTTCACCTAAACCGCAACCCACTTAATGAAAGAGGTACTTTTTTTTAAATTTTCTTTAGCCTGCATGACGTGACAAATTAAGGGTAATAAGTAAGCTTTAATCCAATGCCAATAACATTTTCTACGTACTCTTGATTTGTATGTAGCATGAAGAGTTTGTCTTGTGCTTGCCGCTGCCACATGTTTAATAGGTCACCCTGTTACAGATCTTTGCAAAAACAATTTCTCTATAAGTATTAAAAGGTAAATCAATAAATCTGTAACCTTTGTTCAGTTAGTTAATTTGTGTGCATGGGCTGCAAGGGGTAAATGTTGAAGTCAAATAAGCCAAGGCTATTTAATTGAAATTCACTTGATCATAGACAAATGAGAACGACACATCAAACTTCATAACAACGCGGTGACAAATGATAACAAAACATCAACTTTCATTTTACGATCGACAGTATTTTTTTTATATGAGACTGATGGACACTCAGTTTCTTTCTTTTTTATTATCAAGGGACATTATATCCTCCAGTAATTCATTTCCTCTTCAAACAATTTCAAAATCATGGTAAACCGGGAAATCAGTTTGAATACAAATATACCAATGCTAAATGCCAGAGTCGGCATAACACACGGAGAAGAACTGGTTCTAAAGACTGTGTGACAGAAACATATTTATAAGAAATTATTAATATGACACGTATTCTATGATTCTTTGGTATTTCCAATTGGTCAGTGACTACATCCGTTATTCAACGAAATCCACCTAAATCCGTCTGCGCAAAACAGAGTGTAATTTTTGACAACGGAAGGGATAAGTCTGAAGCGAAAGCCATTGAACCAGGTGTTGATGCATCTAATCCTGGTGGCGTGGGAACACTGTCGAAGAGATTCGCCAAATCTAGTGCTGCTAAACAGTATACCGGTAAGCTAGTTATACAGTAACAAAATAAAAGAAATATAATAAGAGAGCCTAGCAATACATCTTCAGTACACTTTTAACCAGTGTACTTTAGTTATACTTGTTGAATAACTTCAATCGAGATCATATATTAGTTGAAGATAAAGGTATTAATGTTACGTTTTGCATATCATTATGCTTGGACTTAGATTTGTATTCATATCTAGAAACTGCGTTTCGGAAAATAGTATTAATAATTGGCTTTAATAAGCACTGACTGAATGAAAATAATACATAGCTTTGCATGTGTAGTAAAACAAGATATTTATATAAATGTAGCTTTACATAAATGTGTAAATGTATTCCATATTTTGTATATAAGCATGTTAAGCTTTATGTATGCTGTTAACTGCAGTAGATAGTTGTTTTAACTCAGGTACGGTTTAGCACGAGGATAAAGGTTTATATATACAAATACGAAACTAACATTCTTACTAGCAAGTCAGACACTGAAAAATTGATACTGTATGTAAATTCATGAATATGACATAGAGTTTATATTTTCTTTGATTAATGCGTCGAAAATATTATTTTTCCAACCTTTACAGTGAAATGGCTTCTGATGTATAAAAACAATTAGGCTGACAGTGGCATTCACAGTAGATTAAAGATTGACGGTTACATACGGTGTCATGAAACAACAAGATATATATAGAAACAAGAGTGATTTTCCCAGCCTATCCTTTTTTTTTCTTTTTTTTCTTTCTATGTATACAACCTTTCTTACTAACTACGTAGACTAACATTACCTTAACTCATGTTCTACATTTTGTGTGTTTGAATGACTATATATGCTCCGTCCAGAAGTACCTGTATCCATTCTGCACCACTCAATAAAACCTTTTCTTTAGTTAACACACGACATAGTCGACAAGCTGACCCATCACCCACACTCACACCTCAACGCCCGACTTCTACCTTTGATCAACTTTACATAAACGATGTAATGGAGGAGGACATTTATGCGAATGATCAATTGGATGAGTTTCTCGCAAATGAGGATACTGGGAACGTGTATACAAATGAAACGCCATGCTTTATTGAGCCTATTGAGTATGTCAATACTCGGCCAGGTGAGCAATAGAGGTCCGCATGGCAATACGTGTTAGATTTTTGAGTGGCTTTGTGTGGATGCTTTTTAGTATATTTTAAAATCCATAGATGCTACAACGACTGGCGGTACTAGGAAGCCCGTGGTTAGGGGAGCCACGGAACTAGGAAGCCTCGGAGTCTGTCTGTGGATCTTAACAAATGCCATTTCCTTTGGTTTAAAAAAAAAGCTTAATATCGTGTAACATTAAGCCCAACATTGTATATATATAACTACAAAAATATGTTTTTATTAATCGTTTTTCATACTGTTTTGAGTAAATTACAGCGATTGTGTTCATTTTTCACATTAGGATATTTTTTTGTCCCTCTAATATTCGTTCCATTAATCCTTTTTGCTAAAACAAACCACATGTTGGTTTTTTGTACATATATGACTTATCTGACAAACGCACTGCCAATCATCGATATATATATATAAGTAATTATCATAAAGCCGTTATTATTCTTCATTCTTATCTTTGATAATAAAATTAGCATACAATTAATTTGAGCCATTTACAGTTGATGTATTTCTTTTCAAGAATAACCATATAAAATAATTCATCCGAGATTATCACGTCCAGTTTAAAAGGATTATATTATTACACAAACAATTTTTGAAACGAACGATGTATTCTGTGTTTGGAATACAAACGTATATTTTGTCCTTTGTCATATGTCCGTCTTCCAAAAGCTCTAACGTTATTGCTATGTAATATGCATGCGCTTATTATTTACTAACTCACTAATACATCACAGTATATAATGAAACATTCCGATAAACAAATGAGGACTTCCTCAATGATATTTTTATGACAAACAATAGCAGACACTTGATACAATTTTAAGGCATTATCCACTCTATGACATCAGTTTACAGTGGTATATCCTGGTATTTATGACGTTGATAATGGTGGTAAATTGTATTGTAAATCTATAAGAAGTACGTGTGATTATTTGGTTTATTCATATGACTGTGCTGTGTTACTATAATCAAACATTGATTACACGTATTGTTTTAAACCATTTGATACAGATCCTTTAATCACACTAATCAATTTAGATCATAGCTGGACCGGAACGGATTTTTATCAGTGGTTATCTACTGATTACATTCAGAAAAGAGACAAAAATAAGAACGACTTCTAAATATCAAGCGCCGTTTTACTCTTTGTCAATGAGATATCATTATCCTGTCCACGACGACGTTTTATCAATGGCGTTCCGTTGAGGATATCAGGAGGTACATTGTATAATAACCTGGAAAATCCTGAGAAAAGTTGTGCAGGAAATATAAAAGTTATATAAAAAACGATTGTGGGTTTGTAATTAAAACAGAATCACTCACATATCAGTCCTAACGTTGCAGTTAGCACTGTTTTACTACTGTGTGAACGTACACAGTGATGTAGTCGTCCGCGCACACATTGTGCTATCAGGTACGTCATATATGTTATGATATACAATGTGCATTTCTATCGACACTAAAACAAAGGTTTGTAGTATTTTTTGTAAGTACTAATTTTAGTCAGCCGTCTTTGTTGGTAAGAACACCGGTTATGTGGTTTCATGCGTTAACTATTACACTACAACGTTTAACATAAACTATAATTAATTTGCTATGATGAAATATATGCAAATGGAATAAACAAAAAAGTAGTCAAATTGTCAAAGGCTTCCTCCATCAAAGATGTAAACAATCACATGCTTTCTTAAGATGTATGACATTGTTTCATTCTAGTTAGTGGAAATGAGTAAGCATTTTGTTAACATTGTAATTCTGTAATGTATTTCAGGTTCTTCGACAACACAAAGTAATAGCGCGTCTGCGAGTTGTGTGGATACCTCAGGTAAATACACGATACTGCTGCAAACAGACAACAATCTCCTTATGTTGTGTCAACTGTTCCGATAAAAAAAGTCAACAACAGCAACAATATTTTATAGCATACTTATGTCGTGCAATATATTAACCAGTCACTAAGGTCAGTTGTAATTACGTCTAAACAACAATGCAGGTGATATTCCTTGGTATAATTTTTTATTCTATTCAAAATTTAGAAAAATCAAATTTCATGTAAGAGTAATGAATATCTGATAGATTAACGTCAAATGATACAGGTGGGTTTATTTCATTTCATTCAATGACCTGCCTATGTTGAGTGATAACAACTGATCACATTGCGTTATATAAACTGATTATATTGTATTATATTTACTGATTACATTGAAATATTAATTACTACATTATTATAGATCAACTAGTTATATTGATTGTAAATTCTTTTAAGATTTTGTAATTGTAAGATTTTCCTTGTACAGTGTTTGATATTATTTTATTTTCTATTGCATAGGCACTCCATCTGTGAGAGCATTACAGGAACTATTGAATTTAAACGAGGTTTTGGGCTCCCCTGGCCTTCCAATAACCCCTCAAGTAACTTCCCCTAGGGTTCGGATTGGACGAGACATCCCCCTACCCGCCATACCAGTGGAAAGTCCGCAGGACCCGAAAGACGAAATATATGATTATCTAGAGGACAGTTAGATGTACATATTTTCTCGTAACTTACTGTGTATTTGACGCTTATTGTGAACTGTATGGTAACCAATAAAACCGTTAAAAGTGGAGAGAGGCGTAATGTGCCCAGTGCTGACGGTATAGTAACTGATAAAACAGTATACAGCAGAGGTGAGTGAAAGGTACCTAGTGCTTACTGTATGGAAACTGATAAAACAGTTAACGGCAGAGGTGGGTGTGATTTACCCAGTGCTGACTGTATGGTTACTGATAAAACAGTAAACGGCAGAGGTGGGTGTAATGTACCTAAAACTGACTGTATGGTTACTGATAAAACAGTATACAGCAGAGGTGGGTGTAATTTACCCAGTGCTGACTGTATGGTTACTGATAAAATAGTATACAGCAGAGGTGGGTGTAATGTACCCAGTGCTGACGGTATGGTAACTGACAAAACAGTATACAGCAGAGGTATAATGTTATGACTACTTCGTACACCGTACTGATGGAAAATAACTTGTTTATAATGAAAGTAAATATCTGTGATATTAACGGATTCCATTTTACATGAAGTACACGTATGGTAAGAAGTGCCAGTATATTTAATAAGGTTTTCTCCGACATTACCGATACAGTCGTACCAATCACCTTTGTCCATAATTTTGCTATGATTAGTAATTATTTTTTTAAACAGACTCGTTGCTATTTACGATTTCTTGGTATGTTACTTACATGTAAGACTTTCAAGGTGACACCTGACAGCAGAGCTAGAATGTTCCTTTCCTTTTAAACGGTTACAATACTAGAAAAATAACAAACAACCTCACTAACGGGAAAATATCCTTTGATATGAAATGCAAGAGAAAAGGAATCGTGATAATGAAACATTATCAGTGAACGTATGGATATTTTGCCCAGATTATTGATTGAGCTGAAACATATCACATGGCAAAATGGCTGAGGAGACAACGCCGAAATGTACTATTGTTATTTACACAAACATACCACCTCCATTTATCAAATATTTGGTATGAGGTGCTTTCATTAATAGCATGAATGTGATGATGTTTATGCATAGTATTAAGTCTTCTTAAAGAATTACAAAAAAATGATATATGTATATAGTGTATATAGGTAAATTGATATTCCATATGCTATCTTACGTGATAAATATCAATTTAGGTAGCATAATGATATTCTAACACACTCATGGTTTGGATTGATACTTACAAATACATGTCCAAGTTAAAGAAAACTCGTATCTTAATTCAAAATGAGTTTTTCTTGATTGTTGAAACTGTATAAGAAAACATAAACATTCTTTGATCCAAATTTATTAAAATTCGACGAAAGACAAAAAAACAAATCCTAAGAAAATAATCTAGAAATAATATAGAATTCAAAAGTTTACTTAACCGTAAACTTGTGATCAATGTAATACGCATTTTTACAAATATAAAGTTCATTACCGATATAGATATAAAGCTATCCGATTCATGGGGATGTCAATAACATATATATATGACGACTCATATGTCCATTTATGTAATACACTGTAGACAACAGTTTGTATCGCAATTGTTAAATCATTATTATTATTATGTGAATACTATATATTCTGATGCAGTAACACGTAATTGGTGATATGAAGAGTATTACCAAACAGACAGAGAAGAAAGAGCAATTACAGAAATTGGTAACACTAAAAGGATTTAATGCAAAATCGTAAACGTTCGCTTGAGTAATATTTCCCCTTTGATTTTTCTCAGACGGTATTGCTGTGCGGAAATTTTCGAATTTGCATTACTGCTTACTACACATTTCATATAATATATGAAACGTCTTATGTGTATAGATAGGTGCAGATTAAATAAAGTCAAAAGTAAATAAAAAAATCTAAATTGGAAACATGTACACTTGTACATTATAATATTTTTTTCTGTTTGAGATTATTACTATTGTTTTTTTTTATCTTAAAGTCAAAAAACTTTTGACAAAGACTCATTAGGTTACGAGGTTTAACAAAATAAGTAAAAAATCAAATAATGTTATTTTTAATCAAATGAATTCCAAATTATAAATTTATAATGTTCAAACAGGTGGTTTTCTACAACAATGAAAAAACCCACTATGGCCTAGTTTTGCGATTTTGGGGGATTTCCTGAAGGTGACAATTGGCCCAAAATGGGAAATGAAATTAATAAATATTGATTTTTTAGTGAAATTAAATCAATTTGTGCCATTATTTGGTTCAAGTCATTCATCAATTGTATAATTTATTCATATTTCCATTCATGAAACTTTGTGTTAATTGACCGTAATGATAAACTATGTCATAAAGAAAAATGAAAAATGGTTACTTGCTATTTTGTCTGTACATTTCATGATCAGTTAACATGTCACAGCACTTTGATTTTAATTTTTATGCTTATAGCAGAGTAATCTACAAGTATTAACTCTTACCTGAACAGGTTTTAGGTGCTGAGGATTCAAACCAAAGGTCATTGCTTACATGTATGTCAGTACAAATAACGGTGTGTGGTAATTGAGGGTTCCATTGAAAGGTTACAGGCTGTAAGCACAGGTTATTGTTTTCGTCACTATAGTCTACAAAAGTAGAGTGTTGTCCCAGAGGATTCAATATTTAGTATCACGGTTGTTATACAGGATATGGTAATTAGAGGTTCAGTAGTAAAGGTAACGGGTCGGTAGCAATCTAAATATTTTGCTTACATCACTTTACTTCGAACAAGTGTTATCATTGAGGGTTCAGTGTAGAACGTCACAGGTTGTAAGCAACTAAAGGTTATTGCTTATGTCACCTTGCTAAAAACAGGGTGTTGTCATTGAGGGTCCAGTATCAAATATCATAGGTCGTAATCAACCAAACTTCATTGCCTA